ATTTTCCCATGCCCATTCAAACCATGCATTATATTTTTGATGCAGAAAGCTGTCGCATAAAAATCACATCAGAGGAGATACAATAAGTTTTGGTCCAATCTCAGCATTACATTTTGCATCATTTGGTATATATATTTTTAGTATTTCTATTCTACCAGGGCACATTTTTGCCAAAATTTCAAAATTAGTGAAATGGTAAATGCAAGCAGGTAATCGAACATAGAAGCTATGGCATAGCTCCACATAGGCACAAATTGTTTATTGCATGTAGCTTGAACGTAAGGGCGGGGCCAATAGTATTATTCAAGGTCTCTCACGTTGAGATATGTGGGCGGGTTCGAATACTACTCCTTAAACCTTTAATGCCAAACATTGTATCACTAAAACGTCGCTAGCATGGAAGTAATGTAATCGTAAAAATTTCTGAAATGAGATATGTTTTTTTTGGATGTTATAAAACATCACTAAGAACCATGTCATTTCCCTTGGTCTGACTGTGCTCTCAACGTCTCAACCTTGGCCCGTCTGTAACTTGGAAAGTACCGCTTTGGACGAAGAAGCTTTGTAGTCTTTGATTATTATTTATCGGTCCAGCAGAGTTGGGGGCATAATACTAGTAAAAAAATAAAAATCGCTCAAACTTCGTTTTTGATGTTTCAGAGGCTCCTGATGGTTTGCAGGAAAATTTTCATAGGGGTTAAAATGAAAGACGTTCTATCGTTAATAAGCTTTTGGTCCCGGTAATATCGGGGGATGGTGAGAAAGAGTAAACTGAAATATTTTTTATAATCCGGGAGTACCTACTCGTATTTGGGTATTAGGAGTTCATGGAAGTTATAATTTTTAGTGACACCTAATACATGCAAATAATCATTCAAATATTTTAACTATTAATATCCTGTGATACAATATGGTAACTTCTGAAAATCTTAGCTCCGACAAGATTTTCTTTATTATGCTCAAAAGTAGCAGAAACTTGGAAAACATGCGAAAACGAAACTTGTAAACGGTTTTATGCAGTTGAGTATTCTGATCAAAACTTATCTGCCTATGGAAATGCATTACCTTCCGAGGCACTACAACATAATGCCCTGAAACGTCAAAAACAAAGTTTTTGCGATTTTTATTATTTTGGTTTATGGCATTTTTCTCCGCCACCACTGGCCCTATTTTCAAAAATTAAGCTTTCTCGTATATTGAATAATAGTGACCTTCTGTGAAAATACCATTCGGGCATCCAATTTTTTTCTTGTGAAAAAAATCGAAAAACACTGCAAACTAATATTTTTTTAACAAAAAATTCGGATTTTTGTTGCCACCAGCACTCTTGCTTCTTGTTAAAATATTACTTAGCAACGAGTTGGTAGCTGATTTTGCTAAAATTTATTAATATTAAGATCGCACTGATGTACCGGGAGAATTTCGATAATGTTGAATAAGAAAAACGCCCTAATAAAAAATGAAAAGTTGAAATCCGATGACCTATATGACAATTCTTGTATAATATGTTTTTTCTTTAATGATTTTACTTGATTTTTTTTAACAATCGTTTGATGACTCAAAAAAACGGGTGACAAAACAGAAAACTTTGACTCCCTGAGTCTTGAAAACGAAGCAATTCCGAGCATACATTTTTCCTTTAAATTACCAAGAGTTTTGTTCAGATACACCATCCATACCCTATGTAGAGCTTCTACTACCCAATAACAAAACTATATTTATTGAAAAAATAGGCTTCCTTGAAGTTTTAGCTTGATATGAGAATATGTTTGAAACAGCAGGAAGGAAATACTAAATTAGTAGGTACTTAAAAAATGGGTTCACACAGTCAGTCGAAAAGTAAAGTACAATTCATTAGACATTATTACTCATTCAACAGAAAAAGCACTGGCGTTTTTTATCATTCCATTACTTTTGCATAGACAATTAGTCACTCTATCCACTTTTATTGGGTCTATTGAATAAAGAAAGTATTTGCTTATACCTGTTATTTGAGTATTTACTTGATAAGCATTGAATAAAAAGTCAGTAACTACTTCATAAAGTATAGTATTAAGTAAACTCATTCAACTTAAAGTAATTACTTGAAACATAAGACTTCACTTAGGTTTTTCCAGTACTTCGTTCTTTTTAGTTGAATTAAAAAAGAATACCTTAAAATCTAAAAGAATTAGTGTCTGTAAGGTATCTCCAACGCATACTTTTATCACAGAAGCATAATTTTAATAATGGCAAACCTAATAAATGTTCGTAATACTAAAAACTACAGAGAAAGAAAACGCATAAGACCTAGCAAATCTAGGTTTTACTGCGTTTTGAAAGCAAAGCTGTACTATTTATCAGACATTTTTTATCGCAGAAGAAGGTGACTTATCTCACGGCAACGAACGGAAATATGTTTGTGGTATGTTAGTGACACCGGATTTCGAACAGGTATTGCTGAAGATCACCATTCGACAATGTGTAAAACTATTCATAGATTATGTTGCCGACATAATACTTAAAAAGCCCATCAGTGGATAAAATTCCCGTCTGACCTGGAGGGCATCGAAGAAACATAAAGAAAATGGTCGAATCGATTTGTTGCACCTACTGTCATCGGTGCATTAGACTACTCATTTCCAAATAAAAAACCTTCAAATTTTGGTAAGTAATGTGTCAATAGAAAAGGATTTGCGAGTATAAATGTATAACTAACTTGTGATGCAAATTAAATGAAGTGATTACATGTGTAGATAGTCAGTGGCCTGGAAGCGTTCACGATTCCAGAATGTGGAATATGAAATTATGGCTAGATTTCGAAGTAATTTTTGCCTTCTCGCAGATAGTCTATCGTTTCTATAGGTAAAGGAGGTAACTGTGAACTCATACTAGTTGATCCATTATTTTCTGGAGTATCTGTTTTTCCGTTGTTACTTCCAATAGAACAAGTCCCAGGAATTTTTACGAACACTGGATTTATTTAATAATTAATTTTCCCACTCACGAAGTTTATTTTTGTTACTAGTATTATCATTTTTTTCTTGACATCTGTTTTCATGTTATTGAGGATTTTTTTTCAATTTCTCATTGGTAATACTTGTACGAGGGGTCTTGACAAATTCGTCTTTGATATTTGTCCATGCCTTTTCTTTAGCCTGAACAATCGACGAAATCATTGATGTATTCAGAAGAACTCCATGATTTTTTAATAACCTGGCGAATATAAGTCTCTGACAGCCAATCTGGACAGGTAATTCTTCCCGACTCGGCGACATAATTATAGCAATACCTCTAAATCTTGATCGACAACTAACATTGTACACACCTTATTAAAAAAATTGTCATTTCTATTCAATAGATCCACTGTCTGGCGTCACTGACTATTTTGTTAAACACATTCATCTGTGCCGCACGTAATTAAAAATATATTTATACAAAATACAAATACAAGATTCACTGGCGCGAAGATAGGATACGTCTTTACTTTCCCTCTCAATCTCAATAATTCTACCTCATCTGCAGAAGAACATCTTTCACAAACCTAATCTTGTACAATTTAATTGCCAAATGCTTCAGTTGCTGCTTGACTGTTGCTGCTACCCATTAATGGATTATAAGGTATGGTGTTCTTGGATTTGATACTACATGAAATTTCGACTATTGCATCCTTTGACGAAGCAATATTTATTTGCCTGAACCATTCTGGGCATAATTTATTTAAAACTAAGAAATTAGGTATATACGGTTGTAGATTAATATTTTAACACAAGTACTAACTTTTAGCGTACCATCGAAGAGTTAGAAGTTAAAAATTTTCTAATTTCGGAGCACGTTTGAAGCAATGAAGTGTCAACTTGTCAATGCGTATGATACGGAAGCATGGTACTCTCTGAGAACAGTTCATACATTAACGTGATCTTAGCGATAATGCTTCTAATAGTACAAGCGGTACATTTGACTTTCAGACCCCTAGTATACTTGCGTACACTGAAACTTAGCATCCCTATCACATATTATCTAACAGATATATTCTTATAAATTTAATTTTGAGTAAACGCAAGGAACTACCTATGAATCATAAAGGTAACATTTCAGCATTGCGGTTTGTGCTTATTAAGTAGAATAAAAGAGTAGTCGCGTCAACAGTTTTAACGGAGCCCTTTGATCAACGACTTTGTGAACGACGCACACAATAGAGCTCAATTAAACGGAATTGATCTAGGCCTCCATTGTTGTCGGATTTTTCGGTTTTGGTCCTGGCACTTTTAATAATTCTTCAAAGCGAATGGGTTTTATACTGCGAAGACTGCGTAACATATACGAGGGTTCATCCCGATGCTAATAACAAACGAGGTTCAATACTGCTTCCACAAGACTTTTCCTAGCTGCCACAAGTAAACCTAGAATAGACGATCACCAAAACGCACACATCCTTGGATAAGTAGAATAGAAATATCGTACACTAGGCTTGTAAAATGTATTTCAGTTTCTATTTCATTATTCTGTTAATAAAAATTTATTTTTTTCTAAGATACAGTTATCAAATCAATGTAGCTAGATAAAATTGGATTACCTTGTGTTCCAAAACACGTTATGTATTTCGTGGATGTAGGCTGAAGGTGATAATGACAGTGGAATTCAAAATGTATATATTTTTTATGTGCAAACTAGACTGAAACTGACTAACGGCATATAAAAATTTACAAATACAGGGTGTTCGAAAAATAAATGGAGATATTTTAGAGGGTCATTCCTTGTTAAAAAAACAATGAGAAAAGTCTCTATAAACATGGGTCCGGAAATGCAGAGTTTTCAAGATACAGGGTGATAAATTGAAAAAAAAAATAGTCTAACCTTTTCGAGAAATTTCGCAAATAAAATAACGTGAACAATTCTTTTCCTGTATGCAGGAATGATTTTTTATGCAAAAATTAATAAACCAAATTTGTCCACTGACATGCAATGAAACGGTTTTAATTGTTTTTTCTCGCAAACGAACTGAGGTACAAAAAAATACAAGAGGCGAAGAAGTAAATTCTAGATGCTTACTCAAACAAAAAATATTAAAGTTACAAAAAATGCAGTGCCTACATTTTTTGTCAATAATATTCGCTAAGGTACCCCCAGGACGCCACTGGACCTAATAATTTCAATCTATCTAGAGCTAAATTAGCCTTTTAATACAACAAATAATATTGACAACAGAACCGAGTAAATATATATTTATTAAGATAATAAAAAAAAGAAAAAATATCAGCTTGTATCTTGAAAACTCTGCATTTCCGGATCCACGTTTATAGAAACTTTTCGTTGTTTTTAACAAGGAATCATCCTTTAAAATATCTCCGTCTATTTTTCGAACACCCTGAATAAAACCTTGACGCTATATTGCGTTTCACTTATTTTACGTAGTACCTCTATCAAGGAATTTTACACCAAATCCACATTTGCATTATTTAAATTTAAGAACCCAAAATACAGCGTACATATTCACTTGAGCTTTATTTTGACTATTTCTATAGGTGTTTCAATCGGCATCCACCTGTTTCTCAAAGGTTGCAGACAGTAAAATTCTGAGTTGTGATGAAACATGAAAAAACAAATTTAACCAAAAATGGAAAAATATGTATGATAGTCTCTAGCCATGCTTAACGTTTACTAAATAATCAAACAGGAATCCCCAATATGTTTAATAAATGTATCCTCCAACAAAATAACAAATGAAGGAAAATTTTCAGAAACAGTGGATTCTCGGTCAATACCTCAAAGAAAAATGTGACTACGAAGTACAGATTCTAGGCATCAGTTCTTAATACAAATCACATACAATTTCCATGTTACCCTGAGTTGCTTTAATTACATAATGTGTAATAATTATAATAGTTATATTTGACAAGTCGTGAGGACTGGGCGACATACTGTCTCAATTGAATGAACAAGGTCGTGGAAGGTCATAATAATGTTAATAATACATTAGCTAATTTTCCAGAATTGATGACAATAGGTAATGCTTTATACTTCTAAATATAAATTTAGTCATAATACAACCCATTCTCAAATATAAAATAGCTTTCAAAACTGCGGAAATAATGAACAATCTGGGCTAGAGGATGAAAAAATAATTATTCATATTGATTTAGCTCAACTCCAGTAGTCGCATTGTCTTCTTCAACGCTACCGTGTAAAAAGCTCCAAGGCATTTGGCAACACCGCCAACAACTCGACCTCCATGCCGTCGCGACCAGCTGATTGCAGCGCGGGCCTGTCGGTGACGTCACAGCGGTGGCAGCACGCGATTGGCGGATGGCATGAGGCCGAACGCACGTTGCCACGTTCACAGCTGGGTCCTGCGGCAGGAACAGCTGATTTGACCTGACACCGCCATGGAAGGGGAACGCATGTGTTTTGGCTCTCTCCATAGGCCTCGCGGTTTGGAAATAGTACGATCAGACAAGATTTTGCTACTCTCAGATCCTGTCGGGAGGCTTTATACACCTGAAAGACTCCACAGTCAAGCAGACCTACCAAAGCAGTAAAAAAATCATCATTGAAGTGTTCCAGTGTGCATAGATAGACATGGAGTTGTTTGTATTTATTAACTACTTAATCTGTTCGGGCGCACTTGTTCAATCAAGTCTTTCAGTTACTTACATGGCATACGCCTAAGGTTGATCGTTATATTTACATTTTTAATTAGGTATCAAAAGTATTACAGTATATATTATATTCTGCCGTGCTAAGCTTGAAGCTGTTGATTTACACCTTGATGAAACTAGATTGTAGCGTTGCAAGAGTATGAAACTTATAAAAAAAATGGCAAAAATACAAATAAATAAACCTATGACACAAGATTTAACACTCGAAACAATGTCGTTTTTTATAATTCTGACACTTGAGAATACACCACCGTTGAGCTAAGCATGACAGTACAAGCAAAAATGTCTATTAAACAACAAACAAGAAATCTCACGGATCCCAAAGTAGATTATTAGTCAGAAACAGTAGTTTAAACGGTATTTTTGTTATGTTGTTATAGGTTCACCTCATTTTATATTTGTTTCTGAAGAAACAATTTGAGAGTCCTTTTTACTTACTGCCACTCATCTTGCTTCAAGCGCAATTCATACCTGGAACAAACAAAAAACACATTAATATAAAATTATTAGCACTAAACTAAATAATGTATAAAGATGTGACCCTTAGAGTGAGAAACTATTAGACAAAACACTAAATTTTCCAGACTATTTAGTGACTGCACTCAGGAAGAGTCTGCTAGAATCTAATAATGGTGATGAACTAATATATGCCTGTACGCACTATTTTAGTTTTAAACCAGAGGTATTGCCAAGTCGAGTTATTTGATCATCACAAGAAAAAACACATATCAGTACTAAAGTATGAAAACAGCAGAACAATCAGACGAGGTAATGTTTAGTTTTTGAATTACATTTATATCATGTTTATGCGGTGATCTGATATGTTACATTTCATTCTGATAAACAACTACAGCATATCAAATTACTTTACAACTGTTTTGAAGATTCATGGTAGCAGGCAGGTTCTCATTAATATGACGATAAGGTAAACAACTACTTTTTCGCCGAGCTGAAAATATGAGGCATGTGCATTACCAAAGAAAAGTGTAATACAAATGCGTATAATTATTTTTCAATTACATCTCAATCTATAACGTGCTGTATGAGTCATTAGGTGTAAACTTAATTAGTGCTGCAACCAAATTACTAGAAAAAAACATTTATTCTTCACCAGCTTAAATACTAAAGTAACACTACAATCTTTGCAAAGTTAAAGTGGGATAAAACATGCGAATAAATTCTACACTAGGATAGTAGTTTGCATATCTATGATTTCACTAAAACTAATAAAATATGTAAAAAACACTCAATTACAACAAACAATTGCATTTAAGTCATAGTCAAAAATTACAAGGTACTACTGCTCATATTTGAGTTTCTGTAATTACTAAAAAATTAATAGCCTATTTTCAAGCTCAAACCAAGTATTAGATATAAGCAATTTAAATCAAGTAGAACAATAAAAAAATTTCTTCATGTAAATATATCAACCTATTGACGATTCCCTATTCTGAATACTTAGACAAGTCATCATATCCATGTGATGTTTAGATATCTTTTATTTTTCGCTAATTACGCGGTGACAAAAACGCCTACGGACAGACTGACAAACAAATCGGTGGAAGCGAGTAACTCGGATTGCTGGGATCGAACATTGAAAAATAATAAATATTATAGCCATCATATAGTGTGTAGACATGATTTAACCTGATATGGTCAGTAATGTTATTATGAATTTTCTAGAGAATATACGGAAGGAACAATTCCGAGAGTGGAAAATCTATACATCGGCCGATGTAAGAGAAAGCTAATCAGAGCTTCTTCGCGTGCTTGTAAGTGAGCGAAGGCAATGAATGATTTATAAAAGAATATTCCTGTATTTCATACTTTCTATTTCAGATTCCAACAAACGTGACGATCACGACTATGATGTTTGCACTCAGGTGTCGATGAAATTTGATTCTAACATGTTGAATTTTGACACGTTGAAAGCTTAATAGTAAGTTTCAAGACGCCCTGCCCTGATTTCACGGTTTACCTATTTTTTGTTCGAGATAGATTAATAGCTAGCCAGATGCATATAGCAACAAAAGCAGATCTAGTTACATCAAATTGCAACCAAGAAATATGTATGACACATTTTGTAGTTAATATTGAGGAATGTATTGCATGAGGAAACATCAATAAATAATAAAACTATTCCACCTACATTTACCCGATTGATTAAATATTTCCTTCAAAATAATACAAGTTTAAAAATTGAAAAAGTAGAATATATCAAATGATTAGGAATTTTTTTAGACCAAAATGTGAAGTGGGACACCCATCCAGTCTACATTTTGAAGAAAATAAGATTTGTTACATACAAAAATAAATTCCTCGCAGTCATATTGACAGAAAATTATGCGTATCATGCCTTAATTGAGCCGCGACTAATGCATGACATAATAGAGGGTACGATATAGAAGTTTTACAGAGAACTGGTCGGAAAATCAAAATTATATTCAAAAAATGATTTATACAACAAAACAAAAATATTTGATATCAAGGGCAACTGTATTTCTTATGCCGGGTTTACATGCAGCCCACTTCCTCGGCAATGAGCAGGGAATTGGGCAGGGAAGGGGACAGCGCGAGTATGTAAATACGCCAGCTCGCATTGCCAATGCTCATGCCGCTGCCGCAGGCTCCCTTCATTGGCGGTTTTTTGGACGGAAGTCAAAGGACCAACAGCACGAGTGGTAGCACGAGCGGCAGCCACCGTTTACATGCTGCCCGCTGTACCAACAGTCAGTCTTGTCTTGTTCTTACCACGTGGACGCAGGGTATCTTAACCTAATTTATTTCTTTATATTTGATGATTCGAGTGGAGCAATGATCAAGTATTGTAGTTTTTAGAGCTATATGCGGCTGAAAGGCTATTATGGGCTGCTTCACACAGTGATCACAAAAAAAAACATAAAGTACCTACATGATGCGTGGACACGGATAAGCGAAGGATTAAAAAACATCCCAATACAAAAGCTTAAGTCGAAAAAAAATCGCTAATGGCAACAATTCGGTCGCTATAAAAAAACGCTTTGATTAGGTCTGGAGCGGATGTAGACGAGGTGTGTCAGCCCATTTGGTTTGCATTTGATGCAATGAAAATTTTTTTGGGAGCAGTTTATGGTAGGTTAGTAGAGTGGCTGCATGTAAACAGTCACTTGCTCCAAATGATGCCGTAGAATTATTCACGGCAGGACAGTGGGCAGCGCGAGTGGCAGCGGAAGTGGCTGCATGTAAACCCGGTATTACATACTATCAGCCATTTTCAGAAAGTTGTCAGTGAGCGCGATAAAATCACACATTGCCATGATGCAAAAACAGTCCCTAAATCTCATAATACCATAATGAAGCCTCTATGTGGCTCCAAAATTGAATGAACATGTACCCAAAGATTTGAATCAATTTTGATATACCTACACATAGTTTTAAAAACAAATTGGAAAATGTAGATACGAGGACTGTGAATTAAGTGATGAGACTGGAAATTTAGCGTTCAATCTGGCAACACTGGAGGCGCCGGGCTTGGAGGAGAGACAGGGAAACACGTGACCCACCTTCAGTACAAGTTTGAACCCCTCTTGGTTGTCAGTAGCGATTTGTTTTCCTTCAGACTTGGGCACAGTGCAACGGAAACTCTTGCTAACCAACTATAAATATCGACAGAATCCGGGATCTTGGGCATTCAGATCGTCGGTTGACAGAATGATCGGGGAAGAGTTAAATTTGTCTCGCACCACCGTTCATCAGATCCAGAACAACTGACGATAATGCTCCTTGTCACACAGCAATGTCAATAAGCGCGTTTCTGCCCAGGAAAAACATTCCCGAGGCTCCTCCTAATTCACCTGACTTGGGTCCCCGTGACTTTTATCTCTTCCAGAAGTCGAAAAATCACCTCAAGGGAACTCATTTTAGCACAATCGAAAACATCCAAACGGCTGTAACCGACCAGCTGAAAGCCATTCCAGTATCGGAGTTCCAGCATTGTTATGAGGGATGGAAGAACCATCTCCAGCGCTGAGTGCCTTCGGAAGGAAGTTATTTTGAGGGTGACAATATAAAATTATAATTATATTTGAATAAGAAAAAACAGTCTCATCACTTAATTTACAGATCTCGTACTTAAGACGTTCTTAGTTTATTGCGTGAGTCTTGTGATGATAATTATATAAAAATTGGAAAAGATACGTTCCTCATCTCAAAACACAATGTTACGAGGCCGCGAACCGTTCTCTCCACCGTAAAATTTTTGTATCGATCCTCAAGACAAAGAACTAACATCCTTACGGCAGAGAAATTTGGCAAGATCCGGCAACGCACGTCCCTGTTATTCAACCAAGGTTACCTTAGCACGATCGCACGTGCTGCGCTGTTGCGATTTCCAAACGTCAAGGAAAACCTTTATGCGTGTGGTGTGATGTAAACAGTTCCGCGAGGCGCAGTTCCCACTGTTCGTGAGCAACACACAAAGGGAAAAGCTTAAAAAGATGCTTCATAATTCTTTAGCCTTCACCAATTACGATACAAAATAGTATTTCGAATTTACAACTGATCGATCCCTTAGACACGGTTCAAGGCAGTGTCTCCACAAATGACCTCAGCTGATGGGGTAACCAAACGACCTTGAACTCCTCGAACCCCGAATATCTTTGTTATTGCGTTGTTCCCAAAATATGGAATTGATACTAACGCGGACTTTTAAGCCACTAACAGGAATATTTTTGTTTTTGCATCATGTTAAAGAATTGTATTGTGTTTTAATCCAAAAGTTCGAATTATATAGGAAACACGGACCCAGTTAGGATGCGTCTGTTAACCTGCCAACAAACACTACAGTTATCACTCACATCGTGATAGCGAACAGCTGTTAGTCTTTAGCCTTTGTGTGGTTGAGGGTTGATACTCTTGAAACACAATACAAAGAATGAGTAAATAAATATGAAGTAACGGCCCATAGGAGGCATTGCCTGTACATAGATCATAGATGTTGCAACTGTATTATTGAAATATGAATAGATACAACAAATCAACGAATTATTTGATCACATTTACAATTAATTTGTATACGTCTGGCCTTGCCAAAGGAAAAGTCCATTCTTTTATCTTTTTCTTGAACTTATCCTTTATATCGTCAGGTAAATGAATATATATGATTTGACCTAAATAAACGTATGATCGTTGCGTTATAGATTTATTTGGTCTAGGTTATGCCTTGTGCGGTGACTATGTTTAATTTTTTGGTCGTTATTGATGAATTTGTGTTAGTTGGTTATAGAATGTAAGAGATAAAGCTGTTTCAAGTCATATACATGTGTATCTTTGTATAAGACGTCAGTTGGATACAATTTTGGTTCGTTGAACAATGTTTTTAAAGTCATTCTTTAAAAGACATCCAAATCATGAATACGAGTTGAGCTTGTAGCTACCCATGTTAATATACCGTAGGTTAAATGCGGTTTGATCAAAGTATGGTATAAGGTATCGAGATATTTGATAGGAGATAAGATGGGATAGAATAGAAGGAAAATTCTGGAAACCATTCCCTATATTATAGTGCTGCTCCTCAATCTCCTTGTTGGAAGTCCTGTGAATATACTGCAATATAAAATTTATTTGCAGTGGTCTTTTCTATTCTATAACAATGCTGGTGATTCGCGCTATTCCTTCTGGAACGTGATAGAATGCCTAAATGCAGCAAATTCTGCCAAAGGGTTCCATGGTTGTTTGGTCGCTAAATGAATGAAACCATATATGTTTGAATTCCTTCTTTTTACTAACGTTTCGGCCTACCACAGTGGCCTTTTTCAAAGTACAACATAAAACTGACAGTAACAATAAGTTATGTATTGTTTCAAGCATGTACAACGTTTATAACTTTTACCCATACAGTATTATAGCAAAAGCCATTAGTTCAACCAGCCACGATAATGCTACTGTCCAATTAAGATGAAAATACTGACACTTTTACTTTCTAGCTCGTTTTACAATTATTAAGCAAAGTGCAGCTGATGCAACGATGTACGTTACAAATCCTTCCTAGAGCGCTATGACCTAGATTCGCAAATAAACAATATTGTATTAATACACCCATATTTACAAGTTGATGTATGGAAATACTAGATATAAAATGAACATTCAAATGTTTAAAACCGTACGGATTTTCAAAATCTAATTTCAGAAGGTCTACAACCCGGTAAGATTTCATCGAGTCCAAAGCCAAAAATGATGCCAGCGAAACATCGCAATACTTGGCGCGGATTCTTATTACGGCATAGGCTTGGTCATTTTTTAACGTGAGCTTTTTTATTTCTCTAGGCACATATCCCACTGATGTTTTTCGGTATTCAAATACGCAAACCCGAATACCTAATATCAGCGTAATGTATATACAAACTGCTTCCCATAAATTCTATATACGAGTAGCAAACAACCATTCATCATGTACCAGACCATCAACCCATTAACCTATCAGTAGACTGAGATACTGACTATAAACCACTAGATAGGAAACTGGCCGCTAACGTGATAACAGTATCAACAACCATGTGGCCAATACAAAACAGAAAACAAACAAGGAAAGTATAAACAAACGAGGCCGATACAGCGCTAGAAATACACCAGGCTCACAACACTTTTCGAATAGGTCAAAGAACTGGAATAATGTGTATCACCACTGCTGTGCTAATATAGTCGTGGCGACTCGTTGTTGCTTCGGGAACAACTGCAGTAGTAGATGATGCGTTTCGTATGGAACTACTATGCGGTACAAATCGATATTTAATGTGAATGAAAGCGTTTAATCTCAAGTTAGATACTTGGGAAGCTGAGAAATAATGATATTTAACCGAGTTTTTAAACATTGAATATACCCATTTTTGGCGATTTTCAGACAAAAAGACTAAATCGAAATCGGTCAACTTTAGAAAAACGTTACTGGGCATATTTTTTGTTCAGAATGATCCAAAAAAACTGAAAAAATTATACAGGCGAAAAAAAACACTTTTTTTTGTAATTTATTGAAAAAATGTTTAAATAAACTTATACGGGTTACCGGTTACCCCTTGTTGTTGTTCAGGACATTCAACAAATAATATTTTGAAAAAATAATAGTTATACGTTTCATGTACGTATTTCAGTATTTAAATAAACGGTTTTATGTCCATGTAAGGATGAACATACTTGATCCATATTTCTTATTATATCTAACAAATGTATTTGATTTTATCGCGTTCATACATTATATGATACATCCTATTAATTAAAATATTGTTTATATAAATGAACAGCAAAGTCTATAAAGAATCCATCAAGAGGCTATATCAATCATATATAT